ATATATATATATATATATTTCCTTGGATATGTAGGGGATCTATATATCCTTGGAGAAAATATAGAGAAGTTTTAATAAGCTTATGAATTTATTCCAGGTTTCTTAGTACATGGAGTTAATGGGCTGCCTAGTTATATTATTCTGTCAGATTTCTTAGGTGTATTTAAGAAAAGTAATTCCTAGGGGAAGGGAGGCTATGAAAACATACATATACATAGATACATGAGTTTGAACAAAAATCAGGTTCTGATACTCAATGGAGACAATTTTTTTTAAGTCTTGGAAATTAGTGTTGATACTCCTCCCTCAGCACTATACTACCAAATGTAGATAGTACTTGGGTTGCTATAATTAGCACTTGGGTTGCTATAATTCGGTTTAAAAGAAATTTACCAGCTATGTTCCCTTTTGATAGACAAAAAATTTATTTTACATTTTAAGTTATAAGCAGTACTATTTTTTAAAACAATGCCACCCAAACAGCAAAACTAAGGGGATAAAAGTGAAAACAAGCGACAGTAACTGATGCACTATGAAATCAGGTTTCTGGGGAAAACTCAGGTTCTTCTGTAGACTGAAATTTCTATAGTTAAACATAATTTACTTTTTCATATCGGGCAGTAAGTCCGGTCACTGGAAAGTAGCTGGTGTACAACGTCTAATAAGGTAAAATTTGGAAATGACGAGAAGAAAATTCAGATTACAAGGCATTGGGCGAAAACTGAGAAAAGGAGGAAAACATTTTCCTGTGCTGTAGAAAAATCTCTCCAGAATATATGCTTCCTCAGAACAGTACCAGGAAACCTACTGAGGCTATGGGGGACACCTAGTTGGATTACGAGAAGTTTCAAATGTACCTGGGTCCACTTCTCTGAATACAGAAGTCAAACACTATAAAAAGGGAGGAGAATTGGGACCCAGACAAGATATCAAATTCATTAAAAACGAGGGAAATTTGTATTCGCAATGCTAAATCTAATCCCAGCACCAACAAAAAAGATGTCTGTTGATAGAGCACAGAGGAACACAGCTCTCCTTCCTTGTTCTCATTCTTTAATGTCTCCCCTGGCCAATCTAACTGAGTAACAGCGAGTAATTCCAGAAATAAAAACTCAGGGTTCCGTGGGTCCACTGGAGGCGAATAAGCCACCCAGAAAAACCAGCCACCGGACGGTGTGGGGAGAGCTAGGAGCTGACCGCGTAACCAGATGCTTTAAGACATTCCCTCACACCCCTCCCTAAGCCACTCGGGGCCTCTCAAAAGGCCCGGCCAGCGGAAAGAGCTGGAGTCGCTACCAGTCTGCTTCCTGCCCGTCCCCACCCGGCCACAGTCGTCTCAACACCAGGAAGACCCCACCCCGTCGGGCCCTCCTGGGGCTCAGCCTCACCTTCCGCGTCTGCTGAGGAGACAAAGGTGAAGTCCCCGTTAGTGGGGGCATAGGCCGGGGGCGGGCCCGGCGGCTGCATTTCGCAGCCCCTCCGAGCCGGCAATGGTGCA